GTGGTGGTGGCGGAGGTGCCACAGACCCGTCACTCACAGGCTCGCTGTCTGCTTCGGAAAGCGATTCCACGAGTGAGTTTTGATAGCTAGCTCTATAACTCAGAACATTATTTAAAGACTCTTTATAAACAAAATACATCCTTTTTATTTTAAAGAAAGGAGGAATAATATTGTATTTGGCATGTTCTGTAAGTTTAAAAACATTTCACAGAAATGAGAGTATGGATAAATATTATTCTTGTTGGAAGGGGAGGTTAGATTTTCCTTGAAAACTTTCAGCTGAATTTTACAAGCAATAACTTCAGGAGTTCCTATGTAGAAACCATTTTTTCCCCTGTCTTAATCATTTCCCAGTATTAAATATTTCCGTATTGAATATTCACACATACGTTGTCTACATCTACTGATAGCGGGATGAAACCTACCCAGCTGTTTTCATTTACGTGTATGCAGTTTTATATTTCTTTTCTCCTTTTTTCAGTCTTTAGCAGCAGTTACGAGCCCGAGAGCATCCCGGCTGCAGAAGAGGCGACGCTACACTCAGACGCCCGCGGTGCTGACGTGCCCAGCGTGGCCGTGGGGTCACTGGGGTCCCCCACAAATGGCCGCACAGATGGGGTGACAAGGGGCTCTGCCACCAGCACCGACCCCACCAGCACTTTGGGAGGGACCTTCTCCTCCTCGGGGGCCAGGACACGCCGTCCTAATGGCACCGATCTCCCAGCGCATCCCGGGGAGCCTTTGCTCACAAGCTCCCTCTCTGCCTCCGAAAGCACTTTCAGAGGTAAATTTGTTAGTCTGGAAGTTGGCTGCTTTGGGGCTGGATGAGATCTCGCATCCCCGCGCTGTTTGTCTTTAGATATGGCCATCAGTCACTGTTGGATACATGGATATTTGCATTACTGGCTGCATCGGGCTGGCAGCGGGGCTGGTGGGAAGGGTGGGAGCTAGAAGTGTATACTCCTGATTTAAACAGTCTTAAAGGCAGCTGAGATACATAAATCAGGTATTGTGCACAGCCCGCGGTTAAAAAACACAGTTTAAAGTTGAGATTTTCGTGGCTTTTTGTAAGCCACATGTGCTTGAATGTAAGGGATCCATCGCTTTCCACAACAGTGCCTTTTCCAGCTGGAGAACATGGTCTGTTCAATTTTTCAATGAATGCTATAGAAATGTACGCCGTACGAACAATCCCTCGAACGCAGAGCTCTGTGTGCATAAACCAAACCTGGTTTTATTGCATCCTAGGTGTCAGAAGCAGCCACCGACCAGTTAACAGCTCAACGACAGAGAAGAAGCCCCTTGCTTCCTCTCCCACCAGCGCTTTCGCTTCAGCCCCGGCCACCGGCAGTGGTGGGAGGCCCCCGCGGTCTGCCACAGGCAGCAGCACTTGGGCAGCAGAAGACTCCATGTCCAGCAGTGGCACGTACAGGACCTTGGGCATGACCCGATCCTCGCCTGCGCCTTCTGTGGGAGAGACACACGGAGTTCGTGGGTCCAGAGAAACCACGGATTTCACCGAGGGGGTGGCAGACACTTCACTGACGAGCTCTCACTCTGCTTTGGAGGGCCCTTCCCCAGGTGAGCTCAAGTCAGCAGTGAAATGCCTTTTTTTCTTGTAAGTAGAAGGAGGACTGTTATTGTACCTTACACTTGCCTGAGCCTGTTCTGCTATGCAGAATATATTGTTTGGAAAGATGTAGTGTGATTTTGTGTCTGAAATATTTCAGCGCTTGCTTGACCAAAAATGTGGTTTGGGTTTGTTACAGAAAGGGCACATGTGTGGAAAGTTTTGTTATGCCAAGAAAAACAATTAACTTTCAAATCATCATTCTTTTTTTTACTATCTCCAGTTGCTATCTCCATTTTATAGGCAAGAGAGCTAAGCAAGCATGGATTAGATCATGTCCCTGCAGTCTCAGGGACTGGACTTCAGTTCCTGCCCTCTGTCCTACCCCTTGGACCATGCTGCTTCCCAGAAGTTGAACCAGCTCAGCAAATTTAAGGCAACTTTGAATGTGGTCTCTGAGGTCCTTCAGGCTGCTGTTTGGTCCTTCATGCTGCTGTTTGGTCCTAGACCCTGCTGCGCTGCTGAAGGGGTCTGATCCCCTGATCCCTTTTCTTCAGACTTCTTCTCTAAGACCTTCATGCTGCTCAGCGCTGTGCCTTGTTTGAACTGATTTCCAGGCTTTGCTGGGTTGTTGTGGTATTTGTTTGTTCTAGCAGCATGGAGTGCACTCAGGCACATAATGGTGAAATGAAGTGCACAGCATTAGTCGTTCAACAGTTTTTATATAATAACACTTTTCTGGACATCAAACCATGTTTTTTAGAAGACAAATTTCTGTAGAAAGGATTCATGTCTTTGGAAATTTCATATTTTCTCTGAATTGACACCTTCTCATATCTTCTACTTGTGTGTGTACTTGCTGCCTCTGGGTGTTGCTGGAAGAGAGCTCGTCGGTTTATTTATAGTTTCAGATGTATAAACGCGTAAATTGTTTCTTTATCACATCTTAGCTACTGGAAGCAGCCATGTGTCATTCAGCATCCTGTCAACAGAGAGAAGAACTGATTTCCCTACCACCAGCACCTCCGTTTCCACAACAGCCACCAAGGGTGGAGGGAGGACGTTAAGGTCTCTGCCAGCCAGCACGGGACTGGCGCAAGCAATGGAGATTTCCACCTCTGGTACCGAAACCATCAGCTCTTCAGACCATACTCGGTCCTCTTTGGGAGCCCAGGGTGGTAGTGACGGCAGAGGTGCCACCATGCCATCCACGGACCCATTGCTCACAAGCTCGCCATCTGCTTCAGAAACTGCTTCCCCAGGTGAGCCCTGACTGTCCTGTGGGGCTTCTTCCCATATACCTCAAACATCTGCTTGGTACGGAGGAGTGAGGGCATGCTAGAAGGTGCTGGACAATGTCATTGGGCATTACGGAGGAAATTTTCAACTTATGGAGAAAAATGCGTTAGCTGTTTTTGGCATTTAGTCACCAGAAAAATCCAGCCTTACTGCAAAAGCAGTCTGGTCCCAAGATTTGATGTGTTTTCTGAGACAGCACAAGTTCAAGGCCACCCCGTTCGCTGTGTTTGTACAGGCAGGAGGCAACATCAGTCATTCCTGACTCCCGCCCTGGGGTGCAAATGCGGTATTCACTGATCCCGTACAAGCCTGCCGTGCTGTGTTTCGAGTAGGAGGGAGTTCGGTGCCGCTGTGACCTCACCGTGGGTGCCGTGGTGGCGGTGCAGGCAGTGGCTGCAGCGTGGGGAGCCGTGCCGAAGGGGAGCAAACCCAACAGCGCTCCCACGACTTGTTCCTAGTGCCCTCTTCAGGGGGTCCTCCTGTGAGCAGCACCTCTTTGCGCAGGAAAGGGGTTGTGTCTTCACAGTTAGCGTTTTCTCCAGGTTTGGATCTTCTGCCATGTTATACTTGTGCCATCAGCCTAAGGGTGGTGATGGAAGCGAGGGGACCTAATAAATGCTTATAAATATCTCAAGGGTGGGTGTCAGGAGGATGGGGCCAAGCTCTTTTCAGTGGTGCCCAGCGACAGGATAAGGGGCAATGGGCACAAACTGAAGCAGAGGAAGTTCCAGCTGAACATGGGGAAGAACTTCTTCCCTCTGAAGGTGATGGAGCACTGGAACAGATTGCCCAGGGAGGTTGTGGAGTCTCCTTCTCTGGAGATATTAAGACCCGCCTGGACAAGGTCCTGTGCAGCCTACTGTAGGTGACCCTGCTTGGGCAGGGGGGTTGGACTAGATGACCCACAGAGGTCCCTTCCAACCCCTGCCATTCTGTGATTCTGTGATTCTGTGTGTAGCTTAGGGTGTGTAAATCCATTTTGCTTTGCCCTTTCTCAGCAGCAGGGACCTCGGCTGCAGGAGGACGCCTGCCCGATGCTCGTCTCGCCAGTACACCCAGCTCAGTGATAGCCACCAGCAGTGGGGGGAGGAGCACAGTGCCCGTGTCAGACACCCGTGCAGCATCCAGGGGGGCAGGGAGCTCTGCTCCTGCTCCGCCCCGCACCAGCTCCTTGGATGTGGTCCTTCTGCTGTCCTCATCGTCAACAGAGCCTGGGAGGCAGAGCCATGTCTCGCAGAGCAGTGCGGAGCTCACTGAGCTTCCAACAAAGCTGCTGCCTGCATTTTCTCCCAGTATTTCCGTGCCTTCACCTTCACCAAGTGCTTCAGGTGGGTCTTGTGGTTTCATGGTTTGCTGTGGAGGACATCGGTCCTCCTCGCCCCCCCTCTCAAGCTCCCACCCTCCCGTCTCTAGCTTTAATCTAGATTTGCCTCTTTAGTGAGCCTGGTTGATAGCGAAGGGCATCTGAGCACTGCACGGTTGGCAATTTATTCATCTTGTGGCACTTGGGGCAGCGCTTCTCATGCTGGGAACTACATGGCTAGGCAGCTCTTCTGGGCCACACGTGAAAGCTGCCATGGAGCCTTGACCTCAGCCCTCTAACCGAGGGAGCCTGGCGCGAAGTGTGGCAAGGGATCGGTAGACCTTTCGCTGTTCCTTATATCCCAGTTACCATGTGTTTCAGCCTCAACTCACTGCCAGGGTCCCACCAGAGCTGGTTTGAAACCCACTGGTCTGCCCAAGGGAATTTTCTGCAGGACGTTCAAGACCAGGTCCTACCTCCCTGCCACTGTTCTCCTTTAGAAATGCCATGCACCCCAATCTATTTTTTTTTTCTGGTGTAGAGCAAAAAGTACGGATCACCTGGGAACCCCACTTCGCAAATAAGTGATGTTGGTCACAAAGTGCCACCTCTGCCGTGGGGATTGAATTATTCAGATTTTAGTCCTGTAGAGGCCTCAAAGGTATTATTAATACACAAAATATATATATTTATGCGTATATCTCTGTATATCTCTGCTTTGCAATGCCAGAGAGAGGAAGAAGAGTTTCTGGCACTCCTACTGAGACCGTGTACATCTCGACCACACGCTCCAGCCATGAGGAGGGGACATCTCAGGCTAATCGCAGCATGTGGACCACAGTGGCAGAAAGCCCCACGTCTCACCTGGACACAGCCAGGGAGCCCCGCACCAGCCCCCTCCCATCCTCCACGGCATGGCCTGGAGCGGGACACGTCTCATCTGGCAGAGCAGGGTACCCAGAGCCCAATGTCACCCTTTCATCCAGGGTCTCCACCTACTTCTCAGCCACCGGTGAACTGTCCAGTGAGTTTTTCTGAAATCCAGGATGGTGTTTGAATTAGGAAAAAACCCACTCCCTCTCCCTCCCCCGCTTCCATGGGGTTGAAATGACCACCAACACGTGTCAGAGCTGTTGCAGGTGTTGTGGGTAGAATTTAGAAGCGGTGTTGATTCTGCTCCTTGGTGGTGTATGTCTGCAGCTGTTGATGCTTAACAAAAAAGCCTCAGGAACCAGACGTATAACTTCTTGCTGCAGGACACATCTACTACCTGCCTGGATTGGGATGATAATGATAAATAACATAAATATGCCAGTATGACTGTAATGGTAGCAATTGTCCCTCTGTATTTGGACAGTCCTTTTCTCTGTAGCAAGCTTTGCCTGTTAAATCCACATTCAAGGTGATAGATATGTGAGATCTACTCAATCTGTATTTAATCTACGATTATCTGTGCAATTTTATTAATCTGCATTCCAGACAGAATTATCGTACTAGAATTACTGTAGAACTCACAAGCACTTTCTGCTGTGAGATGATGAAATCAGATGCCTGCTTTTCAATCCTCTTCCAGCCGTGGGCAGCAGCCATCGCTCCCTAAGCAGCTCGAGTGCCGAGGAAAGGATGTCCAGCCCCATCACTGATCCTGCGTACAGTTCATCCTCGTCTGCTGGCGGTGGAGAGAGGATGCCACAAACCAGCCACGCAGGCTTCGCAGGCTTTGCAACAGAGGCGCTCTTCACACGTTCTTCCAAGATACCCACTTACTCTTCTTTCCAAAATGATCTGAAGAGTAAGTTAGAGTCTCCTGGTGTACATTTTGTGAGGGGGAAGTTCACGTTGCCCTGTGTTTAGCTATGTCGTGTACAAAGTTCTCATTCATTAGTACATGCAATGCCACCTACGGGTTCGCTCAGGGGGATGTTTCCATCCAAAGACTCCAAGCCAGACCCCACCTAGCTGGGGAATTGCTTCAGAAGTGAAGCCATAAACCCAAGCAAAGAAACTTTTCTGTTTTGATGGCCGCATTATTTTTTTGCATCCTAGCTGGTTTCTTGTGGGTGATGCTTTTAGAAGTGTTTCATGAGGACCTAAGTCAACTGTAGAATTAAACCAAATTTTCAATGCCCTATTTTTTACTTTTAGAGATTGCTGAACTTAGTCGTACATCCTGAAATTCGTATTATCAGATTGACTGCACCTTTTATGCTAAATAATCTGAATTTTTTGCAGACTGATGTGCTACTCATTTAGGGTTTCCTGACTGCAAAGTTTTCAGCCAACGAGTTCATGATAAGCTGCAAATTAACATGATGTAATAATTTCATCCTGCAGCGACATGAAGTTCAGTGTCTAAAAACAAATCAACTGAAGAAGATGGATATTATATAGTTGGGAATGGAGGATAAGAGGATAAGAGGGAGAGGATGTGAGTTTTATAAATTATGACTGATTAAGAGAACAGATGGGTTCTCCTGCTTAGCTTGCCACAAAATATCACGGAACCATAAGTACTGAGTCACATTAGAAAAGCAATACTGGAAGTACAGTGTTTTAGAAACCTACACGTTTCACGGGAGCCTTGTGTCTGTCCAAGTTCACCATTTTAGAATCAGTTGAAGAGCGCAGAAAACTCCTAATTTGATACCCGTGCTTGGAAGGTGCTCTAAATTTTTAGAAGAGCCTGGGCCAGTTCACAGACAAGAACATTTTGTGTATTTAGCAAGTGACTTTAATGTGACATCAAAATACTTTCATATTACACTGTCTTTCTAATATATTTTGTCCTTTTACTCCAGGCTTTTCAAGTAGCCATCAGCCAGTCAGTAGCATCGACGCTGATAAAAGGACCTCGGTTTCTCATACAGATGGCACATACATTTCAACCACATATACCAGAGGAGGAGAAAGGACCCTCTTATCCATCTCGAATAGCAGCACCTCTGCTGACTCCTCAGAAAGCTCCACCTTTTTTTCCGAAATTTCCAACCCTTCTGATTCATCGAAATCTTTGGTGGCACAGGACAGGAGGAGCAACGTATCCACCGATGGCGGTTTTGTTGAACCATCTACAGAGCCATTGCTGGTACACTCTTCTGAACTGTTGACTTCTGCTTCTGCAGGCAGCATTCAAAATACAACTGTATTCAACACTGACTCCGAGTTGTTGACCACTGGCAGATCATCTCTATCTTCATCGGCCTTTCCAGCCTCTTCCTCACTGTCCTCGCTGCATCACTTGCTGTCATCAACACCACCACCAACTTACCCGTTTACATCATCAGGATCATCTGAGCCCCTCTCGTCCTCTGTGATGGCATCTTCACCTCCTCTGCAGGCTTTGTCATCCTCCTTGCCCACTTCCTCATTGCTTTCCCCGTCTTATTCATTAGCCTCTTTATTGCCTCTGTTTTCGTCACCATCATCCGTCTCGCAGTCCAACGACAGCAATCAAGCAAGCACCTCTATGGCTACGCCTGTGGTCAGGCAGGTGCCCTCCACAGCTGCTGTGGCTGGGAGTTTGCCCAGAGGGACCAGCAAGCACAGTGTCACACACCACCCCCAAAAAAGCACCACCTTCACCTCCACCGGGTCTCCTGTCCCTACTGCACCCATGGAGCAGCTTGGTGGACGCATCATGTCCGTGCCCGCTCCCACGACGGTAACAGAGACCACCTCACCAAGAGCTGCCACCGCCCAGGGGGGCACCTTCGGGAAGGCAACGCCACTGCTCACCACAGCCAGCGATGCCCCACAGGCTGGGCCGACGGATGCACCCCTTAGTCCCTCACCAAGTGCAACAGACCATAGCGTCATCATCCCTGTGGTGGCACTGACCACGGCGAAACCTCCTGTGCTGACAACACCGGCCAGTCACCGGCCAACCCCAGGTGATGCTAGCACTGTGAAAGCCCACAGAGCTCAAACGCCCACTGCCACTAAGCACGTGTATACCACTGGTGAAAGCACAGAAGCTGTGGATCCCACCACTGCAAGGCCTGGTAAAGTCACTGAGGAAAACATCCCTGCTAAAAGTCCTTCTCAAGCCCCTCCAACCAGCAGGACCACAGTGAGCACTGCAACTACTTTGGCTGCTACCAAACCAACCACCATTCCACCATCGACTAGCACGGCTGGGCTGAGGATGTCATCTCCGGCAACAGGTAATGCGTCTAATGACGCTCATCAGCAGTGGGGCTAGGGACGAGGGGGCCAGGAATGGCTGGGTCCCACTTGAAGGGTCTTTGAAGAGTTATGTATGCATGTATGTCAAGTCTGTTGTCAGCAGGGTTTGAGGTTAAGAAATCGGTCTCCATGTTGGTGTTTTTAAGCTAAGGGTTTAGCGATCAAGCTGAACTTCTGGAAGAAGGTGAGCGTCTTGGTGAACATTTCTGATAGAAAAGTTAAGCTGAAATTTGAGAGATTTAAGAAAATGAAGCTGACTGGCTTTCTAGGTTAGCATAGGATGCATTTTATATTTGCCAACAAATTTATATTTGACAACATTGATTGATATCGATCAATGAGAAAAGGCAGTTGGCCAGCACTTGGTAATTGTGTCGGAACTTCTTATGTTATTATGACCTTCAGTCGTTTTCTCCCCACCTCACTAAATAATCTCCTTGTCAAGGGCCTGTTGCTTCTCCTGGTAGGCTACATACTGTAGTCTTGCTGAGTGTGTTGTTACAGTCATTTATTACCGCAGCCAGGCTCCTTATCTTCTCAAGTAAATACATTGACCAAGGTTTTATATAAATGGAAATCGACGGTACGTGCCACTGTAGGATATTGTGTGTGCTAGTTGCATTAATCTTAGTGAAATACTGGCAACAGTATATATTGCATCCAGTAATTAAGTATTTAAAGGTTATTTCTCAGGCTGATTGGTTTTAATTATAGCTATGGCTTCATGCAAAAAACTTCGCTGTAAGGGAATGGATTTTTTTTAATAAAAAAATTAAGGTAATGTATCCTTTTTAACAACTGATTCACACTTTTGCTGTGTTACTCTTTCATTTAAATACCGAGTTTTGCCATTTACCAGAATGCAAAAGGTCCTTCTGCTGCCTTGTGCATGGCTCTTTGTACATGGGCACTCGCTGCCACGAGAGAAGTAGCTGCCCTCGTGCCCACTGTACAAAGCTCAAGCTGAAGGACCTCAAAGTGAAAGCCAACATTTTAAAATACGCCCACTCATTTCTGGCTGCTTTGATCAGAGACACCAAATCTCCTTCTTGCTGATGCTGAGGTAGGCGTGCCAGGCTAGTCGAGGCACAGAGATTGTGTCAAATGGAGTGTCCTGACGCGGAGGTCGGCTCAGCACTGTCTGGTCTGCACGGCCTGTGTGATGCCACGGGGCATTGCGGCGCTGTCAGAAATGCACGGGCGGGTTTGTGTGTTTAACCCACAAACCCCACCCTCCCTGCCTCTGCTGCAATGCTCGGCGGCTGCCGCAGAATGATTGGGAGCGGTGTGTAAGCTGTCTTGCTCGTCTTGTAGCGCCTTGTCCACAGTCCTAACTACGGTCTGCCCTTGCACATGTCTGTGACGTGTGTTTGTGCTCATGTGAGTCACACGCACAGCAAGATGAGCATTTTTGACCAGGACATGTTTTTGTTTCAAAGGGAAGCATTGGATATCTTCTCCAGAATTTGCAGTTGGAGTTGGCTAATCTATGATGCACCTGAGACTGCAGTCATTAATCCCCCGATACTCCATATCTCACAGCTGGTGTCTGCTCCCCAAGCCCTTGCTCACCCAGTGGGACGTGCATTACGGGTGGTGGCACAGGCAGGTATCCCCAGCCTGGCATGGAGGAGGTGGCAGCCCTGGCAAAGGAGGTGACGGCAGCCAGGGCGGGCTCCACCGTTACTGAGTGATCTACAGACTGCACCAGTGTTCAAGCACTAGCTTTGGATCGTGGAAACGGCTTCGATGAACAGGGCAGGACTTTGGTGAAGGAGCCCATGCTCCCATGTCTTGCTCTGCCTGTCGAGGTCCCTTCTTTGGTCTCTTCATCCGTAACTGTGGGGTTGTTTGTCTTTGAAAAGCACCCTGAGATCTGCAGATGAGGAGTGCTGTAAGCAAGCTGGGTGTTCGTATTAACATGGATCAACACTGGACTGCAAGGGCTTTTGAATGAATATTCAAGAAAAAGTGGTTTGTGTTTATTCTTTCAGGTCCAACAGAATAATTAAGAACATGATAAATAGTAAGTGCAAATGATGCATGAAGCATCTGCTAATGCTCAGGGGGGTCACAGAAAAGGAGCCACATTGATCTTTTTTAGCTCAACAGTTGATGATTTTTATGATTCTGTAACTATAGCCTGGGGTTTTTTTTCTGCTTTTGTAGATGTGGATAAATGTCTTTCCAACCCTTGTCCTGCGCTGGCCACCTGCAACAACACCCATGGCTCCTATATCTGTCTGTGTCCTCTTGGATATGAGCTGGAAAAAGGGAAGTGCAATTTAGGTAAGAAAACAGAAGTGAAAAACCAGGGGAGAAAAAGATGGAAATAATTATCTGTAATCTTCTAAAATAAATTAGCCTAGGCTCAGACTAGTTCAGGAGCTGAATGCTCCTCCCAACCACTACTTTTAACAAGAGCCTTTCACTGTTTATAGAAGTGCAGTGCCTGATGCCTGTCGTGTTGGGGTGCCCTGGGGAGTGGGTGCAGTGATAGCTCAGGGTTTCTTAAAAACACCGCGACAGAGCGGTGGGCTCAGGCTTGTTAGTAAGGACAGATGGGCCCCTTCTGTTCCTAATGTGTTTTACATCCCCCAAAAAGCGTTGAGCAGCTTATCACAGCTCCCAGCCCTGCGAACCCAGGCGACGGCGTTTGGCGTGGGAGAAGTGAGTGGGGCTATTGTGTGACCTGGCTTCGGCAGGATCAGCCATGTGCGGAAAATTAAGCAGCCGTGAAAGTCTTTGTAAGATCAAGGTCTTGTTTCGTACCTTTAGCATTTTTCATGCAGCACAGTTATTAGCTGGAAGTCAGGTTCTGACCCCCCTCCTTTCTGTTAGAGGACTCTCAGTCTGAAGGACTTACAATGTCCCATTGTAAAGGGGAATTTGTTTTGCTAGAGTTTCTTCTGACCCTTAATCGGCGAGAATTAGAGGCATGGAAATTTTGCTGAGGAAACATGGGTGAGGTGTCCCTGAAGGGTGTTTTGAACATTTCTTCGAGTTGAAAAGTGTCAGCTTCTAATTTAGAGAGTTGTTTTGATTGTGCCTTGAGCTGGGATATGGGCAGATTGTATAAATACTGTGAAAGTGATTCTCATCTTATTTTTGCCCGGAGTTGTTACATTAGAGCTGTCTGATATGAAATTTGTGGTGAAGATGGGCTCTGTGGATGGGAAAAAGTGGGAAAGAATTGGAGGCTTTATAATGTTATCTGCAATCGTATTTGTTTTTCTGGTCAAACACAAAACTGGAGCTCAGAGTTCTCATTTCCACTGAGTATCTCGTGACACTTAATACAAGATTTAGGGATATTATCTCTCCGAGTCCGGACAACTCAGATTATTGCATTCTGCTGCCATGAATCAAATATGAATCTAAGCATGGAAAAATGCATCTTTTGGACCTCTTTTCAAATGTCATTGCTCATTCTGTACAACAGTTTGAAAAATGAAAATGTCCTTTCTACGGTGCTTTTATTTTGACTTTCTGATTTGCTTTCCTTCTATTGCAGGGAGGGGGTAAGAGATTTGACACATTTACCCCAAATTATTATAAATAGCTTTGGTGCTTGAAACTGTCTTGTTACTAAATTTACCCAGCTCTCTCTGTGTTCAGGGGACCTTTCAAATTAGTCTGTGTTTCTGTAGGAAATGTATGAACACTGCAGTGAAATGCTGGCTGTTCAGCAGTGTTGAGCACTGGAATTTGACTGGGGCTGTGGGAACACCACCGCAGCAACCCTTGGGAAAAATCCCAAGGCTGGGACTTGGCTTTATTGGAGCAGTGACTCTCAGATACGAGTTTTCTGTCCGCTGTGTGAAGGGGTTTTCCATGCAGACAGCCTCTCATGTAAGGTGGATGAAACCGCAGCTACACAGGGCATGGAGACGTGTTCCTACTAACTTGTCTTATTCTCCTTTTCAGTAAGAATATTTATTGGCCAGGTCCCCCTGAAACTTAATATTACCCATGGGAAGTACTCAGAGCTCCTCCATGTCGAGGGTGAAATCCTGGCAATGGTGAGTGTCGCTGCCGGGATGGGACAGCTCCCCTTCGCTCCTCTTACGGTTGTTATGGGAAGCCATGAGACTCTGTAGCATGGGTTTCGCCTTTTTAATAACTGAACCATCCTGGTCTGGTGTAAGTAGGACTGGTGAGACATAGGCTTTTAAATCCCAGCATGCTCCTCTCCCCTGCCCTACCCCGGCTGTCAAGAGATCTGGCTCCTATGGGGCTTAAGACAGCAAAACGGCCCAGAAAATCCTGAAGCCCTTTCTCTGAAGTGGTGTGGCTGGGTTCATGCTTCTGCAGCCTCCATCCTTTCCTAGTGTCTTCTGGCTGCGTTGCCTTTTCCAGACCTCAAAAGGGCATTAGTGCTCCTCCAAGGTCAAACATTAAAACAGTAACTGGGCTTCGTCATTCATCAGTAAATCTCACAGGTGCTGGAGCTGGTTGGACTGCAGCTGGTGCCACCTCGCTCTTAGCCAAACCCCATGGGATGAAGCACAGCAGCAGCACCCATCCAAACATACCTTCCTCTTGGTGGAGTCTCCCAGCCATGTTATTGCAGTTCTGTGGCCCTTGGTCAGTTGAGAGCAAGTACTAGGTGAGCTGGTGGCTTCCCCATGTGCTGTGCCAGCAGTTGCTCTGAAAAACCCCTGGGCTGGGGATAGGTACATCTCTGTAAGTTGTTGAGCCAGATCATTGCATGCATGAGTTTGTCCTGTTAGCTGTTCCTGGGCTGGCTGCAGGTCATCTTGCCCTTTTTTGGAGTAGGTGATTTGGAGATGCTGCCAAAGGAGGGGGGAGCTGGGGTGGGTACCTTGATGCTGTCAGCGTGGCTTGTGCTGGGCAGTGAACCCAAACAAGCACGCGGATCCAGGGAATCTGTTAGGGAAGGAGACTTCTTGGAAGACATGCAATCTCCAAGGGGCTGCTTTGAGCTTGGCCTCACCTGGGGCTCTCTCCCTGCTGACTTCTGGCTCATGCTCTGTCTTTGTGGTCATTGCACAGTGGGGCCCTGGACAGATGCTCATGTTGAAATCTCCAGGTCTTCGTTCTCATCCAAGGCTGCACGATGGTGGCTGCGGCCGTCCCTTGCTGGCAACGGGACAGTGCAGCTTTCTTATCAAGCAGATGAACTGCTGGGATGCTCAGAGCCCCCTTGGCCTCAGCAGGCATCTCTGGCGAGTGGAGGGCATGGTGCGGGTGAGCCAGGAGGGCCGTCCCGTGCTGCGTCCTGCCAGGCTGCCTCCCCCCATCATCCCCCGGGACACTAACGGCTGCTCTCTCCTTCCTTGCAGCTCGATGCATCACTGTCCGGCTTGCCAGGGTACCGCCACTCCACAGTTAAGGCGACTAGGTAAGGTTAAGGCTGCCATGGGAAGAATGAGAAACTCGAGCGTTCGGGATGTTCAACTTCAGATCCACATTGTCTGTTTTGAGTTGGTGCTGGGCTTGATGCAATCCAGCCCGGCAGTAGCGCAGGGCGTGAGGAATGCCTGGCCACCTTGCACGTCTCTCCTGGTACACTGCTCCTGGCCTGAGCAGCTCGGGGACGGGCTTGCGAGCTGCCCAGAAGGGATCTGTGGCCAGTTTCAAAGCGAGCTACCAGCACCCCTTCCAACCCCAAATTTACCTCTGTTGTGTGTGAGGTTGTCCTGTTTTTAAGGCCTGTCGCAATGCACGGCTGTTGCAGTACATATGTGATACAGTGTCTGTGATAAGCATGGCTGGAGTTAAGAAGAGTCTTATATATAAGGTGCTAACAATGACATCAGACTGACCTGTGGTACTCAGGGCTGTTTTGTTTTGTTTTCTGTTAGGGAGGCAAATTTTGTGCATGTTTCAGTGCAATCCACGTTCTCTTTAGCATCCAATGTGACTTTCTATGACGTTGTCAGCAGCGTGAAAAGCTACATTCGAGCTTGCAAATCTCCCACCGAAGCCTGCCAGTTCATCTCCAGCCTGAAACCGCTCCACAGAGGTAAACAGCATCTGG